CCTGTTGTTGGGATATGGAGGTGGTTGTCAAACTCATTAGTCAACAGAGCCAAATATCAACAGTACAACGATTGAAATTTCTTTTGAGAGCCAAATTTTTTAAACTTAAACTATATAGGTAGGTACATTGTTATTAACTTAATTAGGGTACTCCTAAGCTGGCCTTTGCTAAAAACGTCCTCAATCTGATTGAGGTACATTCGCTGAGGTCGGCCCCTTACAACTCTCCAATCCACACTCGTCTTGTATACTTGTTTCGTCTATCTCCTTTCCGAAAACCGACTTCTGGGCATGGGCCACGAAGTTTCAATGGCACTGTACATGCGCGCCCGCATGTGGTATTTTGTGGAAGAGCCACTCTCAAGGGGCCAAAGAGCCACATGTGGCTTGCGAGCCGCGGTTTGCCGACCACTGGTATGTGGGATCTTGATCATCTAGATATTCCAAAGAACGTCACATTGGTCCATTGTATCCATATATTATCATGTTAATTGGACTGGAGGAGCAAGAAGTGATGCTTGTGCATCAGAGAATGGTGGAGAAACATCGCGGGGCCCACCTTCTTAGTGAAGTTTTTAGGAGTGGTTTAGGGTAGGAGTTAGAAACATCTGTCCCACCACATGCAGTTTGCAAATAAAATTTTATTGGAACACAGCCAGGCCCATTTGCCTATGTATTGTCTATGGTTGTTTTCATATTACAATGGCAGTTGAGTAGTTATAACAGGGACTATTGGCCCATAAAGCCTAAAATATTTATTCTCTGGCCTATGTAGAAAAAGTTTGATGATCCCTGGTCTAGGGCATTCCAGGATATTTCTTCCAAAATAAAGAACACATTACTGCATCTCAAATTTTCTACCTGGAAGGAGAAAGCACAGTGCCTGGAAGACTCCAGATTTTGGAGGCATCGTATTCCAATGGAAATACTGGTCCAACCCATTTTCTGGGTGCAAAGGAAGGCTTCCAGTTTTGTGTGAGGCCCAGGGCAGTAAAAGGCTGCGCCGCAGGTCCAGGCTCAGTACAAACATGCCTACTCATTGGGCCATATGAGTTAGCAGACCCTATTCTATTAGAAGTGTCTCTCCTTGGGAAAGATGCTGTGCGGGGCTCACAGCAAGTCCCAATAGGAAAATTACAACATAGACTCCTAGGGTTTGGCACATGCTATCTGTAGCAGACAATTATTCACCATTTGAAAAATAGCGCCTGGTGTGTTACTGGGTCTTAGTAAAGACAAATGTATGTCTATGGGATATAAGGGACTTTGTGGCCAGAGCTACTTATCATTACAGGTTTCTGTCAAACCCACCACGCATTAGGGTCTGGTGAGCCCAGAGGAGTCCATTGTAATACGGAAATGATAGATCTGGGATCAAGCACAAGTAAGGACAGAGGGCACAAGAAAGGTATGTGGGCTTCATCCTCCATGTCATTCAGTAGTGGCCATAGAGGAGGGTAGCTTTTATGACAGTGTCAGAGGAAAAGCCTCCCAATGAGTAAGTATTTAGGAAATGCACCAAAAGGTCATCTACTTTGTATAGAAAGAAAAGTAAGAATATATAAAAACTCATGGGCAAATGGCTCGGTTGGTTGGTCAGGCTTCTGGAAAGAGAAAGAATGACAGATTGGGGAGAAGAAAGACCCTGGTGAATGGACCTGTATGCATTAATCATGTTTTTTAATCTCTGTAGCTTGTGATGTTTTGAGATGTTGAGGGGGACTTAAGAATCCAGGGAGAGCCCTAACTCGTTTGGCTCAGTGGATAGAGCTTTAGCCTGTGTACTGAAGGGTCCCAGGTTCGATTCCGGTCAAGTGCATGTCCCTTGGTTGTGGGCACATCCCCAGTGGGGCGTGTGCAGGAGGCTGCTGATCGATGCTTCTCTCTCATCGATGTTTCTAACTCTCTATTCCTCTCCCTTCCTCTCTGTAAAAAGTCAATAAAATATATATTTTAAAAAAAAGAACCCAGGGAGAGATTGCTCTTGCCAGAATAGCTAATTCCTAAAAATTAAAACGTATTTGGGTACATGCCTCTCACAGACAATCTAACCACTTCCTTTAGCTAACTTACATATCATGCCAGCATTTCCCATGCCCTAAGTCAACCCAGGGCCAAGAACCAAGCAGGTAGAGACAGCCCCTATGCCCCAAAGCCTGTGGCAATTATTCCAAACAACCAATCCTAAACTGTTGATTTTGCCTTGGTTTACCTTTCCCATGGAAACTCCAGGTAAGGCTCTGACCCAGGCTTTCCCTTTGCTCCTGATTCTGCCTCCTGACCCAAACCTAATGCTTTCCCTGTGGCCCTGCATGGTGTGGCGTGTCCTCTTTTTTCCAAGAAATATAACTCTTTTTAAGTGGCATTAACTTCTCCATGTTGTTGCTCAGTCACCTTTATAAATGAAGATGTCACAAGTCACAGTGGGAGTGGGCAATAAATGTGAAGATATTCATATTACATAATGTCTATCAAAGGGCATCAATGATGGAAGAGGCACTGTCCAATCAAGTGAACAGAATGACTTGGCCAGTTGATGTCAGTCATCCTTTGTCACTGGTGATCCCAATGCTGGCACAATGAGCTCATGAATGTAGTAGTCATAGTAGCAGAGATGGAGGCCATACATGGGCCCAAAAGCATGGGATTCCACTTTCCATTACAGATCACAACTGTTGCTAACAAATATCCAACTTTAGAGATCAATATCAAGTAAGACTTGACATGCCACCACCAATCCTTGAGAACACTAATGAGCTACTTGGCAGCAGGTTGAATACATTGTACCCCTTTCACTCTGAAAGGGGCAGTGACTCAACCAGAATTGGTACATGCTTTGAATATGGATTTGCCTTTCCTGCCTACAGGGACTCAGCTGGCAGCACCACTCAAGGGTTTATACAATCTTGTATAACATTGCTCAGACCAAGGGACTTACTTTAAAATAAAATGATGGTCTGTATATGACCACATGACCTTCTGGTCCTATCACATACAGCTCCATCCAGAAGCTGCTGGCCTGATAGAGTGATGGATAAACGGTCTTTTAGGATATGCCAGTTTGGAGATGACACCATGTGATGATGCAGTACCATTCTCCAGGATACAGTATACTCTGCAAATACTTGTATGATGTTATGTCGCCAGACAGTAGAACACATGGGTCTGGTAACCAAAGGGTAGACATGGGCATGGATCCACTGGGAAATTCTGCTTTTCTATCCCTTCAACTCTAGGCTGTGATTGTGGGGAAGTCCTCTTCCTAAAACGGAGGCACTTCCTCCGGGGATCCAGTGACAGTGATTTCAATTCAAACCTATAGGCTCATACAATCAGCCAACTCAACAATTCTCAAGCCCACTGTTCCCAGCCCACTGCACAGCCAAGAGAGAATCAATCAAACGAAAATCTTAGAACATTTATGAAAGGGAAGTGACATTGTAGAAGATGAAAATGCTGAGTTTTCACTGAGTGGTAAAGGAGAGGAGGGACACATATAACTCAAATAATTGCATTCTCAGAAAATCACAAACATTAACTGCTAAATTTAATAAACTTATGGTTGAACTTATTTATTTTACATGGGAGGCAATTGAACCAACAGAGGCTAAGAGACTTGTTCAAGGTCTTACAGATAAGTCTGGTCTCTTGACCCTTCACCCAGTGTTTCCTTGCTCCTCCACTGTGGATTCATAGCTCCAAAGTTTTCCTTTTTAACCACATGTCCATTAGGCAATATTAACTTACTCTGCATTCTGTATGCATACCATACGAAGACTGATTAATAACCTACATTCTGGTGGCTGGGAGAAGTCACCTTAGCATTAAAAATTCATTGCAAAATCTGCCCAGACAATTAAACATACTGATGTCAGCCTAATTGGCTCAAATAAATGAATGCAGATCTACAGATTTTAAAACTTTATTATTTTAAATTTTTTTTGCTGTTTGTTATTTACCGAAAGGTATTAGAGGTCTCCTTTTCATTAGGCTCACAAAACTATTTTGAATGTCATTGAGTGTTCATCTTTAATTAGGGACAGAATGTATTTAGAACTCACCAATACTTCAGACTAACCTCTCTAGGTCTTTGGGGATGAATAAAAACATGCATTTTGCTTAGCACATTTCCCTTAACTCAGCATAACAATTTGTTATGGAACTGAAATAATGCAAGGTTGTTGTTTTTATGTGCCCTTATGAAGATAAAACTCTAGAACCACCCCAAATCCAAGGACCTAAGAAAGTAATTGTTGCCCTAACCGGTTTGGCTCAGTGGATAAGCGTCGGCCTGCGGACTGAGTGGTCCCAGGTTCGATTCCGCCCAAGGGCATGTACCTTGGTTGCGGGCACATCCCCAGTAGGGGGTGTGCAGGAGACAGCTGATCAATGTTTCTCTCTCATCAATGTTTATAACTCTCTATCCCTCTCCCTTCCCCTCTGTAAAAAATCAATAATATATATATATATATATATATATATATATATATATATTTTAAAAAAGAAAGTAATTGTTTTACTGTTTAGTAATATTAAGATGCATCAAATGAACAGTATTTGGGTTCTGCATATTTGTTAATCCTGTGATTTGGCTGGGTTTGAAATGGAGTGAGATCATAGTAATAAAACCATACTTTAATTCACTTTTCATATAATACTACTAGAGGCTCAGTGCACGAAATTCGTGCATGGGTAGGGTCCCTAGGCCTGGCCGGCTATCAAGGCCGGTTGGGGCCAGGCCGATCAGGGTCAGGCCGAGCAGGGCCTATAGGCCCCAGTGGGGTTGAGAGAGGAGGTGATGGTCGCAGGGCTGGGCGCAGGAGGAACGACACCAGATGCTGACGCTGCCATTGGCACCCCGCCACCACGCGGTTCTCCACTCCCCCCCTCCTCCCACCCTCACCGCCGGGCCACCATCAGGGCCTGCTTGCTGGGGGGAAGGATGGGGCCTGCTGCTGGGGGAGGGATGGGGCCTGCTGCTGGGGGAGGGGTGGGGGAGGAACCGTAGGAGGTTGGCTGCCGGCCCCAAGGAGGGAGCAGGCCCCCTTGGGAAAAGGGCCTCATCTGCTGCCACCCACCCCCAGTTTCCTGTCTCAGCCTGGGCCCTGAAGGCCCCAGCAGGGTTGGGAGAAGAGGCAATGAGCTGGGCACAGAAGGAATTGACGCTGATGCCCCTGTTAGCAGCCCGCCACTGCACGGTTCCCACCTTTTCTCCCCCTCCTTCCCTCACCACTGCGCCACCACCACTGCGGGTGGGTGGTGGATCGGATCGGGGCCTGCTGGCTGGAGGGAGGGACAGGGCGTAGGAGGTTGGCTGCCGGCCCTGAGGCCCTCCTGGGAAAGGGTCTGTATCTACCACAACCCACCTGCAGGAGGTTGGTCAGCAGGAAGAGGTTGGCTGTGGGAGCGTACTGACCACCAGGGGGCAGCTCCTGTGTTGAATGTCTGCCCCCTGTTGGTCAGTGCACGTCATAGCGACTGGTCGTTCCGATTGTTCTGGTTGTTCGGTTTTAACAGTTGCTTAGGCTTTTATGTACATAGATTAACTGTACGATGAAGTCTAATTCAATCCTCCATCAACCATGGGAGACTGGTGTTATGGAAGGATTGCTAGCTTCCCACAGTATCCATCCTCCTGTCATTTAGCTGGCTACTTGGCTGCCTGAAATAAAGACCACAGTTCCCAACCTCCCTTGCAGGTAGGTACAGCCAAGGACTAAGTTCTTATTAAAGAGATGTCAGTGAAAGTGCTGTATGCAACTTTTTTTCTTTTTTCTTCTTGGCTGGAATATAGTTGTGGTAACTGAAGCTAGAGCAGCCATGTTGGACCTCACAGGAAGATGCAGGGTGGTGGAGCAACCCCCCTAGGAGAAGTCTGGGACCCAGTGACTATGGAATGATCATGCCAACCCTGGTCTGCTTACCTTCAGACCTCATATACATGTTCAGGAAACTCTGTCTTGTCTAAGTTACTGTTACTTGTGTTTTCAGCTGAAAGTAGTCCTAATGGATACGCCTGAGCTGTTCTGTCCCAGTGGAGATGTGCTGTAAGTATAAAATACAGTGAATTTTGAAGGCATGAAAAAAAGATTGTAAAGTAACAACTTTACAATCGTTAATAACTTTTGTATTGATTTCATATGGAAGTGGTAAATTTGGAATTTATTGGGTTAAACGTATTATTTAATTCTCCTGTTTCTTTTTACTTTTTAAAATGTGACTACCAGAAAATTTATTGCATAAGTGGCTCGCATTGTATTTTTATTGGACAGTGCCAGGCTGGTGCTGCTTTGCTCTGTCTCTGTATCTGCCCTTAGAGCAGCGGTTCTCAACCTGTGGGTTGTGACCCCTTTGGGGTTCAAACGACCCTTTCACGGGGGTCACCTAAGACCATCGGAAAACACATATATAATGACATATTGTTTTTGTGATTAATCACAATGCTTTAATTATGTTCAATTTGTAACAATGAAATTAGGGATCACCACAACATGAGGAACTGTATTAAAGGGTCGTGGCTTTAGGAAGGTTGAGAACCACTGCCTTAGAGAAAGATGAGGCACCTAATGCTGAGGGGAGCCATACAACTTGCCCAAGTTCCCAAGTCAAGTAAAGGGTGGGGCTGGATTCAAGTTCAGATTCATTTGGAAAAGCCTCAGTGCTTCTACCCACTGCACCGCAGTGTATCAGCTAGTGCCCCTAAGCTCGGGCACAGGAGAGAGAAGACTGCCCCAAACACTACTTTTCAATCGTAGGAAATGCTGGCTGCTTGAAGAGTTTTACTAAGTTCCCCTCAAAATGATGTTCATAATACGAGTCTTATTTTCAAATGGTATATTTCCCAGCATATAAAAATAGAGTGTAGCCCTAACCGGTTTGGCTCAGTGGATAGAGCATCGGCCTGCGGACTCAAAGGTCCCAGGTTCGATTCCAGTCAAGGGCATGTACCTTGGTTGCGGGCACATCCCCAGTGGGGAGTGTGCAGGAGGCAGCTGATCAATGTTTCTCTCTCATCGATGTTTCTAACTCTCTATCCCTCTCCCTTCCTCTCTGTAAAAAAATCAATAAAATATATTTTAAAAAAAATAGAGTGTAATCCCCTGAAAAAGGGAAGGAAACACAATTTATGGGATGATTCTGCCACCTTTAATGCAGAAAGATGTTTAACTTGAAACCTTTGCATGGATATGGCCCACAGATGACAGAGCTGAAGACCCTTATGGCAGCTCTTTCCCTGGTTGCATTACCTGACTTTTCTGGAAGCTTAAGGCCTCTAAACTCTGTGACCTAAAATGCCCCACAGGTGATGCCTGGGTGATAGTATGTACTATCTCATGGCACATGTTCCCTTATCTTGCTGTTTATAGATCTGGCTGCCCGGGCCATAGCCTGCTCCACAGGTAACACGTATGTGTAGTATTATTTACACTTTTACTCACTGGCCTCTCCCCTACCTGAGCTATGATAAAGGTGAAGGTCTGCCCATGTACTTATTCTACGGAGGAGGGGCCCGTTTTCTATTTGGAGATTGCCTAACATCCCCAGCTTTCCTGATTTCTCCTTAAAGACAGCTGTAGACAGGAACACCCTGCCTAGCTGAGGTAAACAGGCATTAATTAATACAGCTGCCTCCTTGCTTCACTCACAGGCTCCTCCATTAATCTGCCCCAATGCATGCTGCACACAACTCTCTTCTTGAGGGTCACAAAGATATAAGACAGCCACAGTCACCAAGTGAATTTGGATGTGATCATTTTAATCTCTTTTTCTCTCTATGGAACTGCCACTGCTGGCCAGAAATGGCACCCAAGCTATTTAATTGCCTATGGAGCTACAGCATGAAGCTAACGAGCTGCTCATTAATACAACCATGGCTCTCTCCCTTCTTCCCGTGGCTTCTATTCCTGGTTTAGAAGTAGAATTAACAAGTTTTCTCCTAAGAAGCATATCTGTCCTACAGCAGTCAGCTCTTTGAACGTTTAACTTCCTCCTCCAAATCATTACAGAAAACAGTTAATGGCTCTGCGCCCAGACCTGACCCCTGCAGATCCCATTTGCAATGACCATCACAGGCAGATGGATCACCACCAGTAAGTACTTTTTGTATTTGGCTTCCAAATATGGCAGCGGCTGGGTCATTAGATTTCCCCAAATTAATTTCCTCCACAGATATATTTCACTAGTGCAATGGAAGGGCTGTGTGTGCCCTGACAGGGTACACTGAACTCAGAGGAACACAATTTATGCTCACATGTGATATTTGTTGAGGACAGAATGAGGAGATTGCCAGCAATGGGTCTCTTTTTCATCATATTCATCATGTCCACTAAGCATCAAAAATGATGCTCATACCTGCTACATATTCCAATGCAATACGCCAGCTTGTTTTCAATGAAATCTACTTGCAATCTCTAGTTCCTGAGTTAACTCACTCTAAGGAGGCTATGTGTTCTTAGCTTTATTTTTTTTATTTTTTTTATTTTTATTTTTTAAAACTACAAGGTTTTTTTTTTGTTTGTTTTTTTTTTATATTTTATTGATTTTTTACAGAGAGGAAGGGAGAGAGATAGAGAGTTAGAAACATCGATGAGAGAGAAACATCGATCAGCTGCCTCCTGCACACTCCCCACTGGGGATGTGCCCGCAACCCAGGTACATGCCCTTGACCGGAATCGAACCCGGGACCCTTGAGTCCGCAGGCCGACGCTCTATCCACTGAGCCAAACCGGTTTCGGCTTTATTTTTAGATCAGGGAGTTTAAATTTCATCATACCTTCAGGGGTCCAGGCAGTTAATGTAAAAGTGTGCACCTGCTGGTTACAAAATATTAGGAATTAAAAGATCGTAATAGCCCAACCGGCATGGCTCAGTGATTGTCAACCTATGAACCAGGAGGTCACGGTTCCTGGTTGGGGCACATGCCCGGGTTGTGGGCTCTATCCCCATTGTGGGGCATGCAGGAGGCAGATGATCAATGATTCTCTCTCATCATTGATGTTTCTCTCTCTCTCTCCCTCTCCCTTCCTTTCTGAAATCAATAAAAAATATATTATTAAAAAGATTGTAATAAATGGGAGCTTTCGGCCTTGCCAGGAAGAATGCAAATGTAGTTGTAAAAACACACACATTCTTCACTGGCCAAAGGAAAACATGTCAGCTTAGAGTCCACTGAAAAGCGACCCGCTTGTGACCTTGCCTTTAAATCGATTCATTAAATGTCCTTTCTAGAGTCTGAAAGGGGAGGTGGAGTGGCAAGTACTTTTTAAAACTCCCTTGTGGTTCTGATACCCTGTGGGGCCCTTTGGTTGAAAATAATCAAATTCCAACATTAGATTTTATGTGAGAACATAAAAGCTACTGGCATTGAGGCATGCTCACTCCCACTCCTGAAGTGCTTCCGCACGTGGCATGTGTATTTGCTGTACTAGTCGCAGACCCAGGTCACATTAATAAAAACCCAGTGCGATCTAAAAGAGATCCCACTTCTGGGAATATAGCCCAAGAAACTAGAAACACCAATTAGAAAGGATATATGCACCCCTATGTGCATAGCAGCACAATTCACCATAGCTAAGATCTGGAAACAGCCTAAGTGCCCATCAGCAGATGAGTGGATTAGAAAACTGTGGTACATCTACACAATGGAATACTATGCTGCTGTAAAAAAGAAGGAACTCTTACCATTTGCAACAGCACAGATGGACCTGGAGAGCATTATGCTAAGTGAAATAAGCCAGTCAGAGAAAGATAAATACCAAATGATCTCACTCATTTGTGGAATATAATGAACAACATAAACTGATGAACAAAAACAGATCCAGAGACAGAGAAGCATTGATCAGACCATCAAACCTCAGAGGGAAGGTAGGAAAGGGTGGGGGTAAGGGAGAGAGATCAACCAAAGGACTGGTATGCATGCATATAAGCCTAACCAATGGACACAGACACCAGGGGAGTGAGGGCATGAGGGAGGGGGTGATGGGGGGACAATGGAGGAATAAGGACACATATGTAATATCTTAATCAATAAAGAAAAAAAAAGAAAAACATTTTTCTAAAACTCCACCTAGTACTGGGATTTTACTATGTAATTTGTAATACCTTCACCACGTAAGATCTTTCTTAACACTGGAATAAAGAATGGACTTTCATTTTTGTGCTGGAAAAAAATAAAAATAAAACGGCATCAGACGTCTATGGTTTCACTGCCGTCTGGAGACAAAGGCTGCCTACCTGCTGAATTTCAAGGACTCCCAGCCGCTCTCCAGGGCCTATTTTGATCACACGGATTTTCCCCTGGACTGGGTTTGGGCGGGGACAGGAAGGGAAGCAGCTTCAGCGTCTGCCAAGGCTCTCAGGCTTGCCTGTCACGGCCTTCATTTTCTGGGCGTAGGAAAGGTGGACTGTCTTTAATTTGCCAATATTGCTCGAAAGTTGTCAATGGAGGCTGAGGGGAATGATTTGATTCTTTTTGGTTTGTTTTTCTTTCTTTTTTTTTTTTTAAAAAAATTACTGGTTAAATGCTAATTTATTGTAGGTATGGTGAACGCTGTGGTGGTGTTAAGGGAAAACGAGAGCGCCAAGGAGCTAATACAAAACTAGAATGGTAATGCGTGGAGACGAATGAACTCCTAACGCCTGTCTCAGGTGACAAGTAAACAGAGAGGCCACGTACCAAACCCTACATCCCATTCAGCTTGTTCTGAGGCCTGCATTCTGACTCCGCTGCTCTCCACCATCTATCAGTGTTAGGGGATGAGAATCCTGCACCCTACATTTCCCAGACAGAATGTAAGGTATTGTTTTGAGGCCCCACTGGGAGTCATTTTTCATGCAATCCCACATGAACCAATCCTTCTACATCAGCATTTCTCTGCAAAATACCCCACTGCCATCTCCTGACCTCAGAATCCTTATTTCCTAGCTGACATCAAGGTTCACAATTTTCTGTCTAAGAATATGCACTTTGTCAAGCTGTCTTCAACATTGATGGTGATAATACTCTTGCTTCGAGAGAGGGCTGTGAATGTCAAATGGCCCCCAAATGCCAAAGGAGCAGAGAGACCAAAGACGAGGCAGACAGTCCTGGTTGGTTAATAAGTTTGAAAGAAAACTTAGTGCAGAAATGCAGTCCTGGACAGCAGGACACTGGGGTCTCCGCGCCCACACCCAGACACAGAATTTTATGGCTGAAGCCAGGGGTCTGCGTGTCTGGAGAGGAAGATGGACAATAGTTTGCTTTTCGGTTAATTTACCCCCACCTCCCCCCCCTTTTTTTTCTTCTGACAAGCATTTATAAAGCAGTCCAGGTCCGAAGCTTAGTTGAATTAGGTTGGGATTAGTGAACAAAGCTTCCAATAGTGGTGAAAGGTGACTGCTATAAAAACAGACTAAACGGAGTGTGAGCCCAAGTTCAAATCTAGAGAAAAATACAACTAAGGACACACTTTTAGTGTCATATCCCCTGTGTTCCATGGCCAGCTGACTGGTGACAGTAAGTCATCCCTCAATATTCTTTCTCCTCTTTTATCTGTAGAATAATGGGACTTTTGAATTTTAATTGGGCCTAGGGTCTCTAAGGAAAAAAAAATATTTCTGCTTCCCTTGCAGCTTAGTTATGGCAATGTGACTGAATTCTGGACAGCAAGATATAAGAGGAAGTATTATGAGTAATTTCTTGGAAGGAAGGAAGTATGCACCTTTCTCCTTTTACCTCTTCCCACTGGTTGGAATTCAGCCAGTGGTGATGGCAAGAGCCAAAGCAGCCATCTTGGGCTATGAAATTCTAGGAATGAGTATCATGCATAATAGGGCAAAAGAAAGGTGGAGTCTGTGTCCCTAACATTATGGGGGACCATACCAGGGAATGCCTGATTCTGGACATTTATAAGCTTCTGTCTTGTTTTCATTATCTGTGGAGGTGGGGTAAGAGCAAGGGAGGCAGGTGTTTTTTTTTTTTTAAATACATTTTTTACTGATTTCAGAGAGGAAGGGAGAGGGAGAAGGAGATAGAAACATCAGTGATGGGAATCATTGTGCTATATTGTAAATCAGAAGATGCCTTAATCAATAAGCCAAATTTATTTGGAGTACTATTCATTTTCAGTAGCGCTAGTGGGCCCAGAGGAATTCTTGCTTCTCAAATTCTGAGGCCCAATATGGTGGAAGTCTTTTCAATTTATATGTTTTTCAGCTCTTTGTTTTCCAAATTTGGAATGAGACTTCCAGACCTTCTGAGAAAAAGTCCTGTTGCTGGGACAGGGCCGTGAGACCATATCTCAAGTCCTGGCCTGGTGCCAGCACTGACAACTCTGTCTGGGGCATATTTTATGGCCTCTCTGGATGGGGAGTCGTCTTATTTTCCCTATTAAGGAAGCAAATGTTTACAGAAGCCAGAATAGCAGGGTTAAAATTTTAAACAGCAGTTTTTACCCAAGATGGAGGTTACTATACTTCATTTTAAACAGCGGTTTTTACCCAAGATGGAGGTTACTGTACTTCAATTGATCGGCTGCCTCCTGCAGGCACCCCCACTGGGGATTGAGCATGCAACCCAGGCATGTGGATTGACCAGGAATGAAACCAAGACCTCCTGGTTCATAGGTCGACATTCAACCACTGAGCCACATGAGCCGGGCTGGGGAGGCGATTTTGATCATTCACAGCCAAACCCTATTCCAAGCTAATACAGGAGGTACCAGGTGGATGCATGGAAGCAGGGCCTGGACATTCCTCAAACTATCCCTCTGAGGTAGAGGGTTCAATCATCATCACTATTTCACTTGTAGGAAACTCCTTCAGAAAGGTTAGTGAAGTTCTTCATTCCAGCGCCCTCCTGCATGAGCTCCTGTCTCTTCTTTCCCACCTTTTACGCAGTGCTCCCCTTTTATCAGTCTCTCTCACAATCCTTAACATATTCTGCCTTTTACTTTCTTATGTTTCTGTTTTCTGTCTCAGGTAGACTGTGAGAACTTGGGGATAGAAAATGTCTCCTTTGTGACCCCCTCTCCTACTTACAGCGCAAAACAAAGCACTACTTAAATTTCAGATACTTCGTAAACTCCATATTCCAATTAATTTGGAATGTACC